CCCACCACCCCCGGTGAAACAGGCCCCTGTCGGAGCGCAGTCCCCGACAGCGAAGGTTATTTTAATGGATGCATTACTTTAAACGAACCCTCCGCCATCTGTTCCACCCCCTAATTACGCATGCAAAAAAAAGCCCATCTCACAGCCAGCGCAGGAGAAAGTAAAGATATAAGTGATTTAAATGCATGTATCCGCAGCTCCGCCAGCAGCTGGGCTGGGCTGCGCTCCTCAGCTGCCTGGTGAGCTGGGCAACTTGGAGGCAAGAAGGCAAAAGGGACGGTTCTGCTGGATCCGGCCGCGTCAACGCCTCGGGAAGGCGGCCACGGTGCTGGGTGGATGGTGGGTGCAGCAGGCTTTGGAGCACGGTGCTGTCTCCATCCCTCCATCCCTCCATCCCTCCCTGCATCCTGCCCTGGCCTCTCCCCATCACCCCCTGAAGGTTAGCTCTGCCCTGGCCTTTCCCCATCACCCCCTGAAGGTTAGCTCTGCCCGCTGGCTGCCAGCTCGGCGTGGCGGCGGAGCCTCAAAGCTCAGGGACACGCCACCGTCCCCAGGCTGCCGCGGTGCACGCAGGGCCCTGGCACAGAGTGCTCCCAGCTCAGCCGGGCTCTTGTCCTGAGGAACGGGCAGGGGGTCCCACGGGACTGAGGGCGGGGGTGGGCGGCCCCCGGGTGACACTGGGTGCTGTTCCTCCAGCAACAGAGGCGGATGAGGGGAGGCTGTTCCCCGTGCTGCTTTTCCCAAGCAGCAGCTCTGGTTCTAATGAGCCATCTCGAGATCCAGGGAATCTGGAGCCCTGAATGCTCCCAGAGGATGTTTGACCCTGGGAGTGTCTCCTTTGGGACAGCGGAAGGTGACAGTGGGGTGGGGGGGCTCTGTGAGACCTGCTCAGAGAGGCAGGGCTCATAAGTGATGAAAAACCCTCATTTTTACATCACTCTCCTGCTTTGAGAAGTCCCAGCAGGGACAGGGAGATGACAACAGTTTAGGGGGCTGTGTCACTTCCCCTGTCTGGGGGAAAACGGGGGAACCCTGCATCCAGGGCTGCCCCACTCTGACTCGGTTTCCCCCATCCCCAGTACAAACCACCCACAGGGACGGCATGGGTGACCGGCATGGCTTTGGTTGACCCCACAGTGACAGCGCAGGACCATGACCACCATAGCAGGGCCACCGCCTGGCGCCGGAGCCGACGCGGTGCTGGGTGCCTGTCGTTCCCCCCTCTCCCTCCGTCTCCTTCTCTCCGTGCCTGACTGCAGCAGATGCGCCAGCTCTGCAGGAAGAGGGAATTAAGTTGGGCTGGAGGAATTTTAAAGATTGCTGCAGGCCTGAGGGTCTTAGATCCCCCCGCGGAGATGGGCAGTCATGCAGAATTAATCCTATCGGCAGCCTGGCTCGGCTTCAGCCGGTGCAGAGCTCCGGGAGAGCGCGCGGGAGCGCGGGGGGCGATGCTGGGGGCGGCTGAGAGAGCCCCGGTGCCTCTCGGCGTCGATGGGAAATTAATAATGAAAAATTAAAAGCCCCAATTCAGCCTTTCACCCTCCTCCTTCCTTCTCCCCATCAGCCTGGAGGTGGGACTCGTAGGGGGGGAGGAGGTGGGTGGATTCTGCAAAGCTTAAGGAAAACCTGTTTGCCGTAGCCAACAGAGCCCATGGTGGGAGAAAATGCTGGGGCCACCTCCTGCTGCCAGCGCACGGAGCAGCCGGGGCACACCCGTGTGACACGGGGGGCTGGCACGGGGACACCCCTGTGCTGCCATCACCAGCTCAGCCGCAGCTGGGTGCAGAGGCAGGAGCAGGCTGGGGCGAGCGGCAGGTTGGGGTGACGAGGCGCAGGTTGAGGTGGCACAAGGGAGGTGGTGACAGGAGCAGGCAGGAGGGGCAGTAGGAAGGCTGAAGTGGCAGGAGGCAGGTTGGGGTGCTGTGCCAGCACAGGGGACACAGGGACACACCAGACATCCCCACGTGCTGCCCCAGCCGCCGGCAATATGCAAGGGGACACCAGGGTGACATCTGGGTGCCCCGTGGCTCTGCCAGCCCCACGGGCAGCCTTGTCTCTATCGTCCTCGTGGCCGCCGGGGCTGCGGTGCCACCGTGCCAGCGGGCTCGGTGGCTGCGTGACGCGGGGCAGGGTGGCCCGCAAGGGCTCTGCAGCTGCTGCCGAACCCTCTGCTCCTCAGTTTATAAATAATGCAGCGCCGAGGCGCGTTGGCAGTGCCCGCACAGCCTGCAGCCCTGGCGTGGCGGCGGCGCTTTGGGGGCGAGCGGCGGGTGCTGTCACCCCGGCAGGGTGACACCGAGCCGTGTCACCCGGCCGAGAGGTGCCGAGCCCTGGTTGTCCCCCCTCCCCTTGCACCCAGCCCCGCGTGGCCGGGGTGGGGGGTGGCGGTGGTGGATGCCCACGGTGACCCCACGCGTGGGGACGTCCCCAAGCCTCGCGACAGTGGCGCGGATGGCGACGCGCAGCTTGCAGCGTTGCCATGGCGATGTGCTGGCGCTAACGAACCCGAGTAAACATTAACGAGGGAGAGCCCCACGCGGGAGGCTGCGAGCGTGGGGACCGGGCGTGCTGCGGGGCTGGCTGTGCGGCGGGGACACATCGTCCCGCGTGGGGTGCCCCGGGTGCTCCCCTCTGGGTGCTGGGGGTTAATGGTTAGACTGGGAGCTCTGGGTGCTGGCTGAGGTCCTTGGGGGCAGGATGTCAGGCCCCTTCTCAGTTTAGGGGTGCCCAGAGTGGGAAGGTCCCCACCTTGAGGCTCCAGAGGTGCTGTCGTGCCCCGGCACTGCCGTCCCGCTCTGGCCACGGTCACCCTCTGTGTGCGGCGCCCGTGGGTGCTGGCTGGGACGGGGGATGAGTCCCCGGGTGCCCCTCGGCGCTGTGGGGACCTCGGGGTGTCCCCGGCAGCAGCTGCCGCTGCCGTCGCTGTTGTCACCGTGACTCGACTCCCCGCGTCCCTCCTTTCCCACGGGCACAGGGACCCGCACCCTGCTTTGGGCGGGGGTCGGGGTGGGGGCAGCCCCCGCACCAGAACCCCCACCGTGCCCGAGGTCCCCTCCAACATTTAATGGTGCTGCAGCTCATTAAGCGGAGGTGCAGGTGCCCCTGGTACCTTCATCCTCCCGGAGGGCTCTTAATGAGCGGCTGCTAACGAGCGCCCGCGCTCCCTTCAGCCCCGGAGGAGGCTGATTGGCGAGGGGCACCCGGAGCGAGGCGCGGGCTCCTTCCAGGGGCTTCGAGGGGTCCAGCGACCCCTTTGCCATGCTGCAGGGGTGGCCTTGGCACCGAGCACGAGGATCCCACCTCACCGAAACTGCGCCCGTGTCACATCAGTCACCAGCGTCACTGAAGCTGTCCCCACCTGGGTGTGCCCCGTGCCTCAGTTTCCCCCCTTCACCCCCGCTGGGGGACACAAGGCCTTGGGGATGGGCACCAGTGTTCGCAGACATGCAGAGGTGTGGGGTGAGGCTCCTGTTGGTCTTCCCAGCCCCATTGTTGTCCCCACAGTCACACACCCCACAAAGCCACCCGACCCCGGGAAGGGTGACCTGCTTGGGTCTGTCTGCAGGGGAGACTCCGGGGGCTTTGGCAGAGGGGCTGTGTGGGCCCCGTGCACCCCAAAAACAACCCAGTGGCACTGATGCCCTGCAGGCAGTGGGTGCCCAGAGGTCAGCTGGGGAATGCCCGGCTCAGAGGGACTCAAGCTTGTGCCCCTCTTTTGGGGGCTGTAGTGGGGAGACCCCATCCTGCAAAGAGCCACCGACCCACAGCAGGGCTCAGTCCCCCAGCTCCCCACCAAAGGGAGCCCTAATCCTCGGTGACACGGTGCCCATCTCCGTGGTGGCTAATTGCAGTGTCCCCAGCTGAGGATTACAGTTTAAAGCAGGAAAGGAGCAGCAGGAGCAGATGAGCTCCTGAGCAACAAAGCTCCTGTTCCCCTGCAAAACGACTTTTATTAGGGGTATAATTAAAAGCTGACAGGAGGCAAAAATCATGGGGATGGTCAGGGTGAGGGACGAAGCCACCTGAAGGTCCCTGTGTCCCCCCAGGTGTCCCACCCGCCAGCTTCCCAGTCTGACCACAGTGCTGCTGGCAGGGCAGGAGGGAGCGAGGTGCTGGGCTGGCAGAGGAAATCCAAACTCAGCCCCTATGAAAGGGGCTTTGTGTGCCCAAAAAGGAGCAGCCCTCCGCCTTCTCCTCCTCCTCCTCCTTCTCCTCCTCCTCCTCCTTCTCTTTCTCCTCCTTCTCCTCCTCCTCCTCCTCCTCCTCCTCCTCTTCTACTGGCCACGGGGCCACTTTCCTGACTGGGGGTGGCCTCAACGTGGGTGCCAGAGGGAAAATGAGGCACAGAGCGGCATGGCAGCCCTGTGGCCTCCTACCCTGCCCAGACTCCTGAGCTTTTCCCCATTACCCATGGCTGTGGACGAGGCAGTCCCTGGGGATGTGCTGGGGTCCCCCATGGGTGCCCCAGCTGGTGCCATCCCTGCAGAATCCCTGGGATGGGTCCTCTGTACCAGGCCTGGCAAAGGCACTTGCAGTGGAGAAGGAGCTGCAGGGACAGAAACACACCAGGACAGAGGGACATCTTCCCCTGTCCCCTTCATGCCACCTGGATTGCCCTTTTCCAAAACCGCTGCCTGCCTCGGTTTCCCTGTGCCCCCTCATGAGCGCTATGCCTGCCCTCCAGCACAACAGGACCCCAGATCACCCCGGGGGAGTTCAACCCTCCTTGGTGACCCCAGCTGCCCCCACAGACATGGCTGATGTCCCCTGGGAAGGGAGCACTCTGCGGCACCCGGTGTTTGGCACATTTCTGGGTTCGTGCTCACAGGAACATCGCTCCAGTGCCAGTCTGGTGCCGTGGCAGGGAGGAGGGTGGGTGCAGGCAGGGACCCCCAGCCCCGAGCTGGGCACCGGCCACCTTGGCCTGGCCCAGCCCCAGCCCCAGCGGGCAGTGGAGGGCTTGTTCTTTGCCTGGACAGGAAGACGAATGAATTCCATTATGGGATCGCGATTTTATTCCACGTGTCAGGGAGCCTGAGATTAACTTGCTCACCGGGCTGTGACAAACCCAGACACCCACGTGCACGCGCTCCAGTGCGGGGCTTCGCACACCGGCCGGGCACGGAGCTGCTGACACCCTGCCATGCCCAGCCGGGGCACCCAGAGCTCTGCTCACCCACGCTGATTCCAGCAGGGAGCCCCCTGGCACCTGGGGAGGTGGCAAAGACCAGGGCCAGGGGCTGCTGCTGCCATGGGGTTGTCCCGTGTCCTAAAGGTCCTTCAGCCACCTAAGGACTTGTGTCTTGCAAACAGGCGAGGGGCGAAGCATGATCCCAGCACAGCTCTGGGAGGCCATGTGCTGCCAAAAAACAGGCTGGGAGGAAGGAAGGAAGTGGGACATGGGGGCTTGGGGACCTTGACGACAGCTGATGACACTGGGGACTTGACAAGACCAACGGGCTGCTCTTATCTCACCTCAGCCAGGTGCTGCCCGCTTTGGGAGGACATCAGGGCTGTGCAGTTGTGTCGGGGCCGTGCTGTGCCGTGCCGTGCCGTGCCGGGGCTGGCTGCTCTCCCCTCATCACCCCCCCTGCGCGGGCGCAGGCAGCTGGCTCTGTTTGCTGGAGGCTTTGCACATTCCAGTTCGTGGGTCACTCGCCTTCGAAACCTCTCCGGGGACAGAGGCAGTTGGGAGCTGTAACAAACAACCCAAGGGCTCCAGTGACGCCCGCGCCCGGTGCTGCCTGCCAGCTCTGGGGTGGGGGGGCTTGGGAGAGTCCCCCTGCTCCCCTGGGCTGTTGGAAAGGAGCCCTGGGGTGGTGCTGGGAGGTCCCAGTAGAAGTAACCAGGGAGGAGGGACGTGCCGAGCAGGCTTCCATGCAGGAGGTGGGAATGATCGCATTTGGGGAGTGCAGGAGCAATGCTGTGGTCACTTGTGCACTGGGGACGGGGTACAGAGTGGGGCACTGGCAGGGGGGCACCATCCGTGATTCATATGGGAAGGAGCGGTGGAGTTGGCCAGGCATGGTACGGGCAAGAGGACAACGTGGGCAGCGAGTATGAGGTGGCTGAGGGCTGGTTATGGTGTCCTGGAATGTGGGTCGGAGCCACCCCGAGGAGTTCCTGGGTCCGGTGGGGTGGTGGGAGAGTGGTGGGAGCGCAGCGCGGCTGGGGGAGGCTGGGCGGTGCAGGGAAGGTCAGCCTTGGCCAGATGCAGCCACTCCACCCTCCTCCAGTGCTTTGCACATTAATGCAAATGCACTGGCCTGAGTGGTTCATTAGCAGCATGTGGAATGGAATAATGCATCCGCATCCCATTAGCCTAATGAAAAAAAGGGAGCCGGCACCTGGAACAAAGCTGCCGACTCTTGGCTAGTGCTCTGGCTCGGCCATGCTGGGCCGTGGGGGCCCCCCTCCCTTCCCTCCCTTCCCTCCCTTCCCTCCCTTCCCTCCCTTCCCTCCCTTCCTCCCTCCTCCCTTCCCTCCCTTCCCTCCCCTCCCTCCCTTCCCTCCCTTCCCTCCCTTCCCTCCCTTCCCTCCCTCCCCTCTGCCGCCCAGCCCTCTGAGCATCCCTGCGCCCAGCGCTGCAGAAGGGGACCCCATCCCCAGAGTGTCACCACAGACCCCATCCCCAGAGTGTCACCACAGATCCCATCCCCAGAGTGTCACCACAGACCCCATCCCCAGAGTGTCACCACAGATCCCATTCCCAGGATGTCACCACGGCAGGCTGCAGCCCCAGGAGGACTTCAGGGTGGTCCCAGGGTCACCCCTCAGCATCCCAGGGTGGGAGAGGGATCCACGCCAGTAGTGCCACAGAGGCGTTGGCTGGGTGCTGAGATGTCTCCGTGTCCCTGGGGAGTGCAGAGCCTTGGAGGATTCGGGGGCACCCCGGGGTGGGCAGAGCCGGTCGCAGCATCATCCTTCTGCATCCGCAAGTGGGAGGGGGTCCAAGCTGGGAGTGCCGCAGTGGCGCTGGCCGGGTGTCGAGATGTCCCCATGTCCCTGGGGCCGGGAGCGCGGAGCCTGAAGGATTAGAGGAAACATTGCCAAACAAACCAGGCTGTGCCGGAACCAATTAGCCTCCAGCAGGCAGAGTTTCAGATGCTGTTATTTCTGCCTCTTCTCTTTTCTCTCCCTCCTTCTGTCTCCCCCTTTCCCCCTCCCCGGCCCTCCCCAGCCCCTCCTGCCCGCCCCCAGCATCCCTGCTCTCGCCATTCCTCTCCGTGTCGGAGCTTGTTTTGGGCACTGGCTCTGGAGTGAGTCATGCCGCGCGTAGGGGATTTTAAAAGCTTTCTGCTGTCGCTGGGAAGCCGGTTTGGGCTGCTCCGACACTGGGGGTGGAGCGCCATGCCTCGCAGACAACCCTCGTCTGGGGAACCCAAAAAAATCCCCCACCCCGATGCCCCGAACCCCTGGGATCCCAGGGCCCCCCTTTGCGGGGTCGGCTCCGTCACCCCAGCCAGCGGCTGAGTCACAGGCGAAACTCTCGAGCCGTTGGAGCTTCCTCCGCGGGCCCCTCTCCGAGGAAGTGGGCTGCCGGCTCTGCCGGGGCTGCCGGGGCTGCCGGGGCTACCGGGGCTACCGGGGCTACCGGGGTTACCGGGGCTACCGGGGCTGCCGGGGGTACCGGGGCTACCGGGGCTACCGGGGCTGCCGGGGCTGCCGGGGGTACCGAGGCTACCGGGGTTACCGGGGCTACCGGGGGTACCGGGGCTACCGGGGCTGTCGGGGCTACCGGGGCTACCGGGGCTACCGGGGCTACCGGCTCTGCCGGGGCTGCCGGGGGTACCGGGGTTACCGGGGCTACCGGGGCTACCGGGGCTACCGGGGTTACCGGGGCGCCGGGCCCGGCGGGACGGGTGCCCCGGCCCGGTGGGTGCAGCACGCAGGCGCGGGCGGCCAGCGCTGGAGCTCGAAGCGTGGGAGACTTTTTATTTTCCACCCCCCCTTTTCCCTCCCTCCTTCCCTCCGCTGCCGCCTCCGCCGGCCCTGCTGCCAAATCCGGGGTGGGGGCCCTCCGGCACGACCCTCCGCCAGTCCGCAGCTGGCCGCGGTCCCCCCCTTCATCCTCCTCCTCCTCCTCCTCCTCCTTGCCTTGAGCTGTGCTGCTGAGGGACTGCAGCTCCCGTGGATCAGGAGGAGATTTAGGTCAAGCGCTCGACTGAGTCGAAACAGCCATCTGTGTGCGGAGGAACCCGGCCACCCAGAGCCCCCGGCGCGGCTGGCCCGGCATCGCCACGGGGTCCCGGCAGCCCCCGGACCCTGCGCCTGGGCACACAGCCTGCCTTTGTCTCCAGCAAGGGAAAAAACCCACCCAGCGAATAAACAGACGGGGGAAGAAATCCCCCTTCCTGCCGATCCGTACCCCGGGCTGTGCCGTGGGCACCGCCGCGGAGTTTGGCACGGAGCGGCCGCGGCAGCGCTCCAAGGTCGCCCTGACACGCGGGGGAAGGGGAAGGGGAAGGTGTGTGCCGGCGGGAACCGGGCACGGTGCGGAGCCAGGGCCGGAGCCGGGCAGGGAGGTGCGGGCAGGAGGGAGGCCCTGGCCGCCTGCCCGGAGCCCGGACTCCCGGGTTCCTGCAGGAACAGGGTGGAGCGGGAGGAGGATGGGGAGCTGGTGTCATCCCGGCCGCGGCGGGGGGGAGCGGTTCCCTGCCCGGGGGAGCGAGGGGCTCGGCACGAAGCTGCGGCCGCCGTGCCTCAGTTTCCCCGGATGATGAAGCAGAGCAGCCCGGTGGTGGCAGTGCAGCCGGGCGAGGTGGGGACCCCCGGATGCCCCTCGGCACCCCGCGCCGGGGCGGAGGTGACCGCGGCCCCTCCTGCTCTCCACCTGCCAGCTTAGTCTTGCTTTCTCCGTTTCCTTCCGGAGCCTTTTCTCGCCCGCCGGTGTCTGTGCCGCTGCGCCTGTGCGCACGCTGGGCGCGGGGAGAGGAAACGCCGCCTTGGCCGTGGGAGGGCTGGCGGCGGATGGGCCCCCCAGCCCTGGGCGGCTGGGCACACCCCGAGCGTGTGACGAGCTGTGCCCGGGGTCCGGCCGCAGCCCCGCCGGGCCCGGGGATGCTCCCCGGCAGCTCTGCCCGTCCGCTGCCCGGCCCGGCCCCGCCGGGCCCCTCGGGGCTCCAGCGATCCGCCCGCCGTGCCTGGTAAGGAGCTTTGTCCGGCTGCGCAGCCACTTTGCACAGTAATCCCGCCTTGGCCGGGGGATTATGCGTGGGGAGAGCTGGGGGGGCCCGGAGCACCCCCGCAGATGGGGTTTGGGGGTCAAGGTTTCCCTCAGTGCAGCGGGTTCCGGCCAGGAGGGTGCTGGGGACATCCTTGTGCTCGAGTGGGCCACACCGGGAGCACAGCGTTTGTCCCCAGCCACCGGGCAAAGCCGGCAGGAGCTCGGTGCCCCTGCAGAGCCCTGCGTCAAGCCAAGCCAGAGCTGGGGCCGCTGCTTCCCACCGGGATGATGTGGAGCATCCCTGCATCCTTCTCCAGCGTCCTTCTGTGCCAGTGTGGCAGCAGCAGGCACGTGCAGGCAGCTGCGAGGCAAGAGCTGCCCGGAGGTGCGGGTCCCATCCTGGGTCCCTTCCCAGGGTCCCATCCCAGGGTCCCATCCTGGGTCCCTTCCCAGGGTCCCTTCCCAAGGTCCCATCCCAGGGTCCCATCCCAGGGTCCCATCCCAGGGTCCCATCCTGGGTCCCTTCCCAGGGTCCCATCCTGGGTCCCATCCTGGGTCCCTTCCCAAGGTCCCATCCCAGGGTCCCATCCCAGGGTCCCATCCCAGGGTCCCATCCTGGGTCCCATCCCAGGATCCCATCCCAGGGTCCCATCCTGGGTCCCTTCCCAGGGTCCCTTCCCAGGGTCCCATCCCAGGGTCCCATCCCAGCTTCCCCACAGCGCCGCGTCCCCGGGCGGACTCGGAGGGGGCTGGTGGATGCTGGGAGCTCAGCGGTTCTTTATGGTCTCAGAGGGCTCCATTAATTCTTTAAATATCCAGCCTTTCCAGGTGGGTTTTGTTGAAAATTAATTTCCGGAGCTATTTTAATTTTGCTGTATTTAATTTGCTGTTTATTTTAATTAATTAACGTCGGGAAAATCTCTTCTCCCCAGCATCCTGCAGCCGTCTGGGGTGGCTGCACCCGGGAGGTGAGAGCAAGGGGGTGTCATGGGTGTGAGGGGCACTGACAGGGAGGGTGCCCAGCCCCCACAGTGCCCACCTGGCTCCATCCCACCTGGATGACGGGGTTGGCACGGGCAAGCAGCGAGCTGGGTGTCTTCCCACCATCCCTACTCCAGGGCTCATCGCGGGGTTTGCTGCTGGCTCCATGGGAAGTTTGTCACATCTCCTGGTGGGGGATGGCTCCGGTAGTGCTCGCAACCACCTTCCTCCTCCTCCTCCCACCGACGGCTGGGGACCTGGGGTGTGCATCTGTGAGGGTACCGTGCCGTGCCGTGCCGTGCCATGTGCCAAGCAGGAGAGTCCTGCTTGAACAGCCCCGCGTGGAGCTCTCCGGAGCCACACCCACCCAGAGGGATGCTCAGCCCAGCCTCCCGCTCCCTCCCCGCATCCCTCCGGGTTCTCCGTCCCCGATGCTGACCAGGCCCCAGCGAGGGGGTCCCTGTGGGGCGGCGGGCACGGAGTGGGGGAAGGGATGGAGCCGCCTTCCTCCAGATCAAGGCCGCTGGTCTCTCTCATGTCTAGACGCTGCCACACACACCTAATGTGGTTCTTGGCAGGAGCCGCGGCTGCTCTCTTGAGGTTAATTGCTGCGCACGGAGCTCTGCAGACAGATAACCCGGCTCCACGCTGCCCCGGACCCCCGCCTCACCCAGCCCTGCCTTGGCTGCAGTCCCCGAGGGATGTTCCAGCCCCAGGGAGGAGCAGACTGGGGCAGCGACACTGGGATGCTGTGCCCAGTGTGTGGTTTGGGGTGCAGCTCTGACCGGTCAGGGCTCTCCCGGTTTTGGGGACAGGCAGGGATGGAGGAGAGGTGCTGGCAGTGCTTAGCAGGGGGTGACAGTGGCTGCAGGGGCTTTGGGGCAGGAGGAGGAGAAAAGAAGGGCCCCAGCAGGCCAGGGCTGCCGCCATCCTCTGCTGGCTCCTGGCAAGGCGGCTGGACCAGATAAGGGAAGCGGGCGGGGGGAGCCGGACAAAGGCTCAGCCTTATTCAGCCTGCGTGGCTGGAGCCAGGCTCCGGAACGAACAACGGGAGCTGGAGAGAGATGCAGGGACTGGGGTGGGAAGAGCTGTTTCGTCCTCCAGCCCCAACATCTGGTGCAAAGAGGGGATGGGAGGAGAGAATGCTGGGCAGGCTGCAGGGGTGAGCCCCGGGGCTTGGCCACATCCGGCTTCCCTGGGATGGGCTGGATGAGGCCATTCCCAGCAACTGCTCTTGCAAAGCACCTTCCTGAGAACAGACACTGCTCTAATGGTGTGCTCGGAGCCACGGCACCCAGTCCTGGT